CTGGGAAAAACTGCATGAGAGCCCTTCTCAAGAAGCACTACGTCAGTCAGATGCCAGCAATATGCCGAGCAACGAGTGAACGATGCATAACATGTGCTACAAATAATGCTCAGTCTGCACCACGGCCCCCACTAGGTGTCCAGAGGATGGGAGCACCCCCCTTTGAAGATCTAGAGGTCTCAGGTGTCACCCTGTGGGTCCACCACTCCAGAATGAAGAAAGCTCATCATTCGGAAAAGGACCCACGCAAGTGGGGAGTCCAGCCAGACTTCACGAACCCACTCCGGCTTCACTTTCGACGAGACCCCACCGACTGATGGACACCTGCTCACCGTGGTCCCTGGATCTCATTGGCATGATTTCCCTCATCTTGGGAGTCGGACTCTACACTGTTGCCCCTCCTGACTGGACTTTCCCCCAGAGGCTTACTATTGCCATTGCTTATTGGGTAACCCTAGGGTGTATTACTGCACTTACTTGTCCATGGGTTTCATCTGCTGATGGGTTACCTAAGGTCATAGATCCCACTTTTACTGGCCCTCTGCTGTCTACTCCTGAGCGCATTTCACCATGGTTTTCCTGGCCCCCGTCAGTCCCGGTTTTCTGCTGCCTGGTGTGCTGTTCCTCCTCACTGCCTCTAGCTTGCCCAGCCAGGCAGGGGGGCAAACTCTCATATCACCATTACTGGCAAATGGACTTACCAGCTTATCCCCCTCAATCCTGCACCAGCGCCCCCACTGACTTCTTCCACCTGGGATGGGCACACACCGAAGGTTAACTTCCATTTTGATGGATGCCAGCTTCTTGATTCCTTCTGGGAACCTCATAGACAGTGTTCCTACCATGGCCCTCACTCAGGTTACCAGCTGGTAAATATCTACATCTGTGGGGGCCCTACGCCTCAACAGCCAAACACCTGCCCTCAGTTTTGCTCGAAAACCTGGGGATGTGAGTCATGGGTGGCGACTTGGCCAGGAATGGAACGATGGTCCACCTGGTGGCGCCTCAAACAGTGCAGTGACATCTGGATATCCTTGTCACACAACGCCACCCCATCCTCTTGCCCTAACAATCACTGTATACCGCTCACCCTCTCAGTCTTAGAACCCAATGCTACATCATGGGCTACAGGAATCATTCTCCTGTTGGGCCAATATCACCCTATGGGGACCGACCCCATGGCCAAATTTATGATTAAGTCCACGTTCACTCCAAGCCTTACAGTCAACCCCCAGAGTCAGACAGGAAATAACTCACCCCGGTGCATCCCTGGGTCCCCCATCCACACGCAGCAAGCATCTATAGCACAACTGTTAGGTATGATTAATGCCTCCCACCAAGCGCTTAACCCCTCGAATCCACCCCTAGCGTCTGACTGCTGGATCTGCATAAAGTCCGGTCCTGTCCAATACCAGGTGTCATCCTCAACCCATCTACCGTGTCACTTCCCGCCTCGGCACCAGGGACCTCAGATTATCCCTTTCTGGCTCCGGTACCACTGTATGGCAACTCTTCCTCTCCCATCACAGGCCACAGTTGGGGCTGTGCGCCGAACAACACTTTTCTGGCTTGTGATCAAGGTGTATACATCTGCCTCAGCCCGCGCGATCAATCATGCACGCTTGTCAGTCTCTTACCTGATCTTTCAGTCCTCTGGGAGCAACGCCCCACTCATATGGGGACCTCCTAGCTACCTTCGATGCTCCCCTGCGGCCATCCCTCCTATTGTGAGGCTGCTGGCCGCATCAGGTGTTGCCCTCGGCACCACTGGTGTCAGGATGTCTCAGGTTCAGTACCAGGGGCTAACTCAACAACTCACGGCGGATTTTTCGGCCCTCACTCAGCCGGCCCTGGTCCTGCAGCACCAACTCGATTCACTGGCCTCAGTGGTCCTCCAAAACAGGCGCAGGCTCGACTTGCTCACGGCCATGCAAGGGGGCCTCTGCCTCTCCTTACAGGAGGAATGTTGTTTCCATGCTAATGAGTCGGGGATGGTCCAAGAAACTCTGGCCCAATTACAGGAAGGAGTACATCGCCAGTGGGAAACACTCCAGCGGACAACTTGGCGGGATTCCCTCTCACAACGGTTCCCTTGGTTTGCCTCCCTCGTCGGCCCCCTCCTATTGCTTCTCCTCATAGTGGCATTTGGTCCTTGTATTCTTAATGCCCTTACTAGGTTTATCACTGCTCAAATTGCTAAAATCAGACCCCAGTTACTCCTTACTCACTATATCGCCCCTTAGAAGATGAAGATGGTGCCCTCTAAAGTAGGTGTTTAGCTTTCCACAAGGGGCATCAAGGGGGGTAACGATAAGGAAAATCTGTGTCCTGAGATGGCCAAGCGAGGCAGCGAGAGAGTCCCAGTCCTGGCCCCGGGGCTCTTCCGGGTTCTTCTCCCGGCTCGGCTTCCCGCGCGCACCAATCCGGGGTCTTCTCCCTGCCCCGCTTTGCGCACGCGCCAAAAGTGCCAAGTGTGCGGAAGTAGAAGTGTACAAATTACCCCCTTTTTTGTGCTCAGGCTCAGACCTTTGGAGACTACTCTCCTCTGAGCCCACCAGCGTTAAATAAACCTCCTATCCTCCAAAATCTCCGGGTGCCGCTTGGTTCTTCCGTCGGGCGGTGCAGCCCAGGTTCCATAACAGTATGAATGAAATAGAAACCTGATTTCTCCCCCACTCCTCACCCTTCCCTCAGTGTGCCTCTCCTCAGAACCCATGTGTCCCCAAATCATCCCTACCGTCACCTACTCCTACCAATCCCTCTCTCCTCAGCTTTATTTTCCTGCTTGCTTCGGCCCCAGCCCCTCCTTCCCCATCTTTCTGTTATCTCTGCCCCTTTCCCTGTGGCCTTCAAAGGTCTTTCCAGACCATGATGACCAGGGGGATGGGAGGGGTATGAAGTGTCAGGGAGAACTTCCTTGATCCTCCAACTCCCTTAATCTAGTCTCCTTACTTTCTTTTTCCCCTCAGTGCCAAAGTTCTTGAAAGAACTGTCTCGATGTGCTGCATGCACTTCCTCCCCACCTCACTGTTATTTATTATTGTAGTCACTCATTTTTTGAAGTTAGTAAGTGTTCACAATACAGAATTCAAAACATTCCAGAAGGCACATGGTGAAGTATCTTCCTTCCATGGTGTCCCCAAGCCACAGGGCTCTCCTCAGAGGCAACCCCTCCTGTCAGTATCTTGTGTATCTTTCCTGAGAGCATATGTGTACATATTCTTGTTTGCATTTTTTTATACAAATGAAGGCATTTATGCCCATTTCCCATCCTTTGCTTTTTTCACGTAAAATATGTGAGGGAGTGTTCTACATCAGGAAATACAAAGCTGCTCCCTTCTTTGAAATTGCTGCCAAGAACCCTCTGTGAGGATGTACCAAAAATTCTCTGCTGTGGACACCCAAGATGTGTCCAGTCCTTTGCTCTAATGAAGATGCTGCAATGAATATCCTTGCATAGATAGGATTTTTCACCCTTGTGAGTGCATCTGTGGGATAAATCCACAGAAATGAAATTGTATTTTGCATTTTGGAATTAAATTACTTTCCATAAGGGTTGTACCAGTTCAACCACCCACAGCAATAGATGGGAGGCCCTCCGTCTCCCCAGCCCAGCAGCTGCCAAGTCCTACAGATATCTTCTGTGGGCGCCCATTCCATTCTTGCCTCCTTTCCCGGCCCCACTGCACCATGCTTGTCACATGGCGTCCCTCTCCAGCATCCCAGAATGGAACACTTCTGCCTGTTTCAGCCCCGCCCGTCCAATCTCCCTTCGCTCGGGAAACCTGCCTTCCTCCTGCGGACCCTCGCACACGGTGACTCCCCAGCAGAGGCCTCTGCGTGGAGCTAGAACTCAGTATGGATTAATGGAGCCCGGCTGCAAATGAGGTACTATGTCATCCTGGTACTGACAGATGGCATTTCCGAAAGTGAAAAAACACCCTCCCCGTTCTGCTTTTTAAAAAAATATGTTTCCGGTATTCCTTTGGACATAATGTTTTTGAGGTGCATGTGTGTTGCCATTGTTGATTTGTTTGTTTAACTCACTTAACCAAACAGAATGCACTCTTCTTCTGGTCTCCCCAACTCCTTCCCTCCAGCCCCCTCTGCTTGGCTTTCACTTTTGCTAGTGCTCTACCCTCCTCCTAGACCTTCTAGAGACATGGGTGGCAAGGGCCATCTCTGGGCCCTACTCCATGCTCTGGTCCCAGGGGCCCTCCAGCAATGCCAAACTCTGTCGGGTTCCACCAGCTTCCACCCCACACACAAAGTCAGGAAATGGGCCTCCAGCCAGCTGTCACAGCAGAGTCCTCTGACATTTGAAGAGATCCTTGGATGGTAGAAAGAGTCCTGGCATTTTCACATTTTGAGGATCGCAGCTCTCAGCATCCTCGGCCTACCCATCCCTCCCCATCTCCGTCCCCACCGTGACACACTCAGGGTGCTCTGGGGGAGGCGGAGCAGTAGACAGGAGAGGGCGGGAAGGGGGAGCGTCCAGAACGCCAGAGGAGTTCACAGGGCTGCTGGGGCAGGAGAGGGAAGAGAGGAGAGAGGTGAGGCCCTGGAAGGGGCGGGGACCGCTGGGCTGGCCCGGGCGGGACGCGGCACTGTGAGTACACGCGCGTGTGCGCGGCGTTGAAATGCCCGGCCCGTCGGGGCAGCAGGACAGAGCCCAGGGCGTGCGCGGAGCCTCCCAGTGTCTCGCTCCTCCGGCCACAGCCATGACAGAAAACTCCGACAAAGTTCCCATCGCCCTGGTGGGACCTGACGACGTCGAGTTTTGCAGTCCCCCGGTGAGTAGGGCTCGGGATCCCCAGTCCCGCTGCCGGGTCAGTGGAAACACGCAGGGCCCCGGCTTGGCGCGGGTGTCCGAGCGCACTGCCCGGAGTCAGGGATTTGCGCCACCGAATGTGGGAGGCGGGTGCCCAACCCTGCGCGTGTGCAGGGGGCTCGGGACCCCAGACGGGCGCGAAGGGGAGGGCGGGACGGGATTCAGGAGGGGGAGTCCTGTGGCTGGCGGAGCGTGCACAGCCAGGGGGCCGTGGCCCTGCTCCGCCGGAAGTTTGCCTATCGCACATCCACGCCTGAGTCCAAGGGGCCTTCGGGAGGGAGGGCGGCGAGGGTGCCGGGGTGCGGGCGGCGCAGACGTGACCTGTCCCCCCTCCCCGACCCTCCCCGGCCCCGGTCCGCAGGCGTACGCCACGGTGACCGTGAAGCCCTCCAGCCCCGCGCGGCTGCTCAAGGTCGGAGCTGTGGTCCTCATTTCGGGGGCGGTGCTGCTGCTCTTCGGGGCCATCGGGGCCTTCTACTTCTGGAAGGGGAGCGACAATCACGTAAGTCCAGAGGGCGGCGCGCGGGGTGAGGACCCGAGTCCCGGTGCGGGGGCCGGGGAGGTGCGCGGGGCGACGGGGCCCTCAGGTCACCCGCATGTCCCCCCCTAGGTGGAGCCAGAGCGCTGGGCCGCGGGGGCCCTGTCGCCCCTGCTGAGGCTTTCCTCTAGGTCCCCCGGGGCACCTTCTCCCTTCTTCCCTGCGCCACCACCACGCTGCTTTCTGCTCTTGGCGGCTTCGTAGAAAAGCAAGCCGGAGCTTTAAGGGAGAATACTAAAACGTAGAGTAGCGGGAGAATGCAGTGGACGGTTGGAGGAAGGCCCTTTTCTGCGCATCTCAGCCTGGCGCGGGCAGCGAGCAGTCCTGAGACTGTGGGGAGGCACCTCAACTCTCTGGCCTCAGCCTTGGGGAAGAAATGGAGCTAAATCATCTCCGAGGCCTTTCCTAGCCGAGAAAGCCTGCGAATTTAAGAACCGAGGACAAAGATAGTCCTAGGGAATATTCAGACCCAGTACTGGGGATGAATTTGACCTTTCAAGAGTTTTGGGGAGTTTTTGTTATTGCGTATGACCTGTCCATGAATGCTCCCTTCTCTCTTGCCCTGAGGAAAGAAATGGGCTAACTTCGTTAAAGGTGGCAAATCTCTTTAAAAATCAGTTCTGGCCTAGTCACGTGTGATGTAATGGTACATGATTCACTGATGGCTGTCCTCCTGTCTTTGTATGTAACTGTTTATTTTAAAGCTCCACCAGCTCTCAACGAGTATACAAAGCGCTTCTAACGTGACTGGGCAGAATTCCAGGGTGTTCTCTATGTACCCTGAGTTTTGTTCACCTATGTAAAGGGGGGCATTTTATCTTGATGACCATTGCCAGGCCTGGTATAAGCTTATTTCGACTAATGGAAAAGAATTCCATCTCCAGGATGCACACAAAGGGCTTTTTCTTAATCACTGCCCTCAGAGGATCTGTGACTGGTGTTTGTCACACACACCCCCCCCCCACCATGAAATTCAAAGCATGAACGAATTCCAGTACTTAGAGAAAATGGTGCTGAAAGCAATTCAACCATTTTACACATCACATCTTCTGCAGTCACTGCATAATTTGTATTTTTAACTCAAATGCCTACTGTAGATAATCATGCCATTTAGCACTGAGTCTGTTTTGGAGACTATATCAAATTTACAAGCATCGATTTGTAAGATCAGAATTGCACAGTATTTTGTGTATATTTGAAAAGTGCCTTAATGTATTTGTATTTTAAATATAGAAGTTAGGCCAGATGCTCATGTTTGAAAGCAGCAAATCTGAACAGGAGAACAATTTCAAGATCTACATCTCCATTAATAGCAGGGTTGAGATTGTCATCCCTTGGGAAATTGTATGGTATTCGCATGTAAATGCTGTCTTTTAGATGACAAAACCTCAGTGGCCTAGGTCATTTGGAGATAAAAATAGCTTTGCTTTGTTTTGGGGATGGTAGAGATTTTAGACATGATGTATATTAAAATGAATACCATTTGGCATTTAATTATTCAAGGCAAATACAACTAACTGACAAGCTTCTAAAAGGAGAGACTGAATGATCATCCTGACTAAGTGGGGCTCCCTTTCTTCATCTCGTACTTTAGCACAAGAATCTGGTTCAAGAGAGCAGTATTAAATTCTAAGACTACAGAGCAATAGTGAATCACATTTTATTGCCAACAATCAAAGTTATTTCTATTTCCTGTACAGGCAGAAGAATGAAGAAAATCGTGGTTTTTTGTTTTTGTTTTTTTTACAAATCCCAAAATATTTGGTGCTACTCTAGATTACTTACAGGTACTGAAATATGGGGAAAGCCCCACCAATAAGAGAGAGGTGACAACCCTGCCCTGTGGGAGGAGGGGATGAGATCAGTGCTTGAGGCCTTTATTCTCAGACTGATTTTTCTAGATAGTGGCCCAAACATTATGTCATTAATCTTACAGAACCCAGGCTTCATTAGAAACTCACTAGCAAATATTCCTGGCCGTAAAAGGCACCGTGCTGGGCAGAATTTTGGCAAATAATAAACTTCACTGTATTTAGAGACTCGCCTGAGGTACCAACAGCTCCGTGGGCTCAGAGCAGACAATGTGATTACTCCTCTTCTAGCCCAGCCTCCTGAGCTCAGGGCCCAGTACTTTGGAAATAGCTTTGGACTGTGGACCCTCCCACCATTCACTTCACGAGGGCACAGACCTCTCACCGCTGCCCCGTGCACAGCACGCTCCTTCTATAGGATGGGCTAAGGCTAGGTGACAAGTGACGCGAGTCCTATGGCTGGTCAGGGAGCTTCTGTCACGCAAAGGTGGCAGGGGCGGTGGTGGAGGAAAGTAAAATTAGGACCACAAACCACCCCTCTAGTGTTATAATTTTGTCTCCTTAATTTTGCGAAGAACTTGGGAACGGTTCATTTCTGAAATTTTGCATTGCCTTACTAGTAGAAGCTTACGTGCAGTGCTTTCTGTCTCTCACACACACACACACACACACAAAGCCTCTAAACTGCATGAGCGAAGGACGTTTGTTGCAGCAGGAACTCACACAAATGTTGTCTGCCATACTCCTTTTGACCGTCATACTCAGCCCATGTGAAGAGTGGCTGCTCAGAGAGCCCAGGGACAGAACAGAGCCCGCTTTCTAAACCTTACCTGCAGAAAGCACCAGCTCAGCCAAAGAAAACAGGCTTCCCAAACTGGGCTGATCACGAGGACCTCCTGAGATGCAAAGTGCAAACAGACTGGTGGGCTCTGCTCCAACTCTGCTAAATCAGAATCGCTAGAAGTGGTTCTTATGATCAGGCCAGTGTGGGGGAGAGCATACCGCAGGGATCCAAGTGCAGGGGGGAGGGAAGGGCACGGAGAGATGGGCCGGCTGAAATAGCGTGCCAGTATTTTCTGTACCGCTGAATGAAGGCTGTTGCCCGGAAGGGAACTGGCTTGCAAAGCCATTCTACATCTCTGCTGGTAAAATAAAACTGTGCTCTGTGGGTCTCGTGATAATGAGTTTTCCACAAGTAATGATCTGGTAATAACCGATACTTCTTCCAGTGTCTGTCCATGTAGCAGTCTTTCTTTATAATGAGGGAGAAAATCAGACTTGAATTGAATCTGAGCTATTGGCAGTTCTGACCTACTGACCTGACACTAAGTAGCAAGTGTCTCTCATCAGTTCTCAGTCCTTCCTCTTTAAAGATTTTATTTTTTTTTTAAGATTTTATTTATGACAGAGATTTAAATATGACAGAGAGAGAGAGCACAAGCAGGCAGAGAGGCAAGCAGAGGGAGAGGGAGAAGCAGACTCTCCGCAGAGCAGGGAGCCTGACGCGGGGCTCGACCCCAGGACCCTGGGATCATGACCTGAGCCTAAGGCAGACGCTTAACCGACTGAGCCACCCAGGGGCCCCTAAAGATTTTATATCTTATATGTTATATAAGATATAGAGAGATACACACACACACACATATGCTTCTAAGTCAGAAAAAGGAAGAGGGAAGGCAAGGGAAGGGAAGACCCACCTACTACCCCACAACACAGAGAAAGTTCTAGCAGGGCAGCAACACACTGAGCAGGAGCAGTGTGTGAATTATTTTGTAAGTTAGTGTACTAACAAGATGTCTAAACTAAGAGAGCCCTTTGGATGATCTAATTTAGTGGTAAACTAAAAAAACAACTATTTCATGGAGTTATTTTTCTTAAGATTTTACTCAGAAATCCAACACATAACACAGATAACAAGTAGAGCCGCTCTGGCTAAGTTGTAGGTGGACAGGAGAGAAAGGACGACCCTCACAGTCCCACCTGCTCTGCCACCATCACCTCTGGGCCACCTCTGTGAAATCTTAGAGCTCAAAGGACGTAAATGAAAACCATCTCTGAGGCCCAGCTTCTTCACTTTACACCCAAAGCAACTCCCAAGACCCAGGGATAAGTGGTGTGGCCACTCGTTTTTCTGATTCGTGGACCAGTGCTCTTCTCTGATGCCAAGTCTCCCTCCCTTCTTCCCCCACACGTCTCCTAACAATATGCCCTCCAACACCAGATGCCTGTCCCAGTCATTAAAATGACTAACTCCCACTTTGAGCTGAAACAGATGTGCACATTGACCTTGCTGTCCACAAATGTTGCTCTCTATCAGGCATATCCCAGCCCTGTCTGTAGTCCTCACTATATGCCATACCCCGGGTCGAGTCTTAGCCAGAGGATTTTTAAAAACCTTTCAAATTGAGGTGCCACTGCAGACTTGTTCAGTTAACAGCCCAGTTAACCATTTATCCATCGATGGCTCTCAACTCAGACTGCAAAGTAGAATTGACCTAGGAAAAGAAAGATCTATGTCCAAGCCCCATCCCCACAGGGTCTGATTTGATTCATCCAGGCGGGACACGCATGCGCGGTAGCTGGAGATTCTACTCAGATAGCTGTATGCGTGGCCAGGATCGCAAATCACTGAGCTATTTGAATAAGTATCGGAGACTACCAAAGCTTTTACTTTTAAGGTATTTCTTAAAGAAATTATTGTATTAAATGATTGGTGTATGGATGAAGCCCTTATATATAAATATATTACTATTAACGATGATTCGGTGTATCTCTAACCAATGTGAAAGCTACCTCATGTACTGCAGGTCAAAAGATAAGCCCTGAATTGCTCTAAAAGGAAAGCATCCCTGACTCCTGTGTTCACTTCTAGATTTACAATGTCCATTATACCATGAGTATCAATGGGAAATTACAAGACGGGTCAATGGAAATAGATACTGGGAACAACCTGGAGACCTTTAAAATGGGAAGTGGAGCTGAAGAAGCAATTGAAGTTAATGATTTCCAGAATGTAAGTATATTTCATGCATTTAGAGAGTTTAACCAGGCAAGCCTGGAAGGCCTTCCCAACCCAGGGAGAAGCAACATCTCTCACACACAACCAAATGGTAACTGTCCTTTATGGCAGTCATGGCGCCACTGATTCACATACATTATGCAGCGTATTGTCTCTGAGAAAGGACCACTCTTTGTCCTTTATAGTTTCAAAATGAAAAAAACAACACCCTGGCACTGAAAAGAACAGGTACTTGGAACTCTATAAAAAGTCTTGGCAGAAGGACTGGAAAGAGCTATTTCTTTCCAAGCAGCTTTCTGTAACACAGTGAATAAAATGCTCAAAGCATCCCAGAATGTTCCAAGGTCTGAAACATGAACCTGCAGAGAGGAGGGAAATTGTAATGACCTAATCTCATCAACAATAGGTGGGATCTACTTACATACTTCTCTCCATTCTTCAGATTTCCCATTTAATCCAGAAAACTAGCATGGAGAAATTCCCTGTCATAATCCTATGTTTTCTGACCATGGCCAATGACAGATAAAACATTCGAGTCTCCTTTGAGAGGGGCAAACACATTTGTTTTCCGAAGTTCAGCTTACAGGCAGTTTGAGACCTCAAGCTCTGTGACGGTGCTTTGGTGCTTCGGCATAGGTCCGCAACACAGTGGCACTCGGGGCCCTCTCTCCTGTTGGCCCACGTAAATAGCTTATTCTCTTCATGTTCAAAGATGAGGAAAAGGCATCACTGTTTGTGTTCTGTTACACCTGTAGATGGAGTAGGTGAGACTCGATAATGAAAAAAGGCACTTGAAAATAATGACTCTTCTGATAGTTTATTGGCCTACAAACATCTCATCAACCCACCTTGCTCCAGTTGATGAGAAAAACTAGGGATGCTTTTCAGTTGAATGAAAGAACTCCCCTTGCTGATGCCAAAACGCAGTTCACAAGTCCTGTTGAATACCAAACAGATGCTAACCTTCGAGCCCCGGTGATAGGTGATGTTAGGTATTCCTTGCTGATGGCAAGGACTGGCTATGTTTCAGAGTGGGCTCTGCTTGGTGGGGAGCGGGGAGGGGTGGGCTCTGCAGCCCTGGATGTGACCTGTTAGTCGGAGCTTTGCAAATGGTTCTGGTCAGTGCACAAAGATAATTTCTCTGGACCTGTTAAAGGCTTTTACTGCTAGATCCAGGACAAGGTAAAAGCATTTTTTCTTTGTATTGTTCAACGAAAGATGACAAAATGTGGCTCCCACACACACATCATTCAATCCAGAACAGAACTAAATACCTATGATGTGTCACAAGATCAAGATATGCAAAGGGAGCTACACAGATGAATAAGAAAAGATCCATCTCTCTCAAATGTGCATGAATCAGGAATACACTTTTAAAAATTTTTTTTTTTTAAAGATTCTATTTATTTATTTGAGACAGAGAGAATGAGAGAGAGAGAGCACATGAGAGTGGGGAGGGTCAGAGGGAGAAGTAGACTCCCCGCTGAGCAGGGAGCCCGATGCGGGACTTGATCCCGGGACTCCAGGATCATGACCTGAGCCGAAGGCAGTCGCTTAACCAACTGAGCCACCCAGGCGCCCCACTTTTAAAATATTTTAATCCCAAACCTATATTTCTGTTTTATAATCCTTCGGTTCTAATAATGGTATTGATTGTGTTTTGTTCTCATAGGCCAACAGGACCACAAATATTTTATAAACTGATCAATTCTCTTTGATAGCTTCCACATTTCTCTAAGTCAGAACTGGTGAGTAGGACATTTTTTTGATGGATAGAACCAGTTAGGGGTTTAAACAAGCCTGGGCTTTTGAAAACACATGAGTCAGCCACGACGGTACCCCCACTATTACTTTCTCTTATATTTTAAACCACCCATCAGATTCAAGAGGTGTTTATCAAGGCCTACTGTGTGCAGGAGACAGTGCTAAGCACAGGGGATGCAAAAATGACTGACACTTGGTCCCTCCCTCAAGGACCTTACAGTCTAGGCCAGGAGGCAGACCTGCCATGCAGAAGTGACTTCAGGTCCGCCTGGGAAACGTGCTGTGACAGAGCTATGAACAGAGTGGAACACACTTGGTTGGGGGGGGGGGTGGTAAAAAAAAAAACCCAAAACAGAATCAGACTTATAAATACAAAGAACACTGATGGTTGCAGGGAGCTAGCTGCTGGTAACTAGGGGGTTGGAGCCGAGGTTTTACAGAGGTGATGACAGCTGAATCAGGTCTTGAAGAATGATTAGGATTTCAACTAGCAGAGACGTAGGAGCAGGGCTTTCCAGACCCAGAGAGAAGTGCTGAATACAAATGCACAGCCCCACTCTTGAGTTCTAAGTAGCCCAGTGTGGCGGAAGGTGGGGAAGGGGAGAAGAGGGGTGGGGGCAGATTAGGAAAGGCTCTAAATTGTGAACCGTGAACAGTCTCCCCTGCTAACCTAGGACCCCACCAAGATTCTAGTAGAGCCAATGGGGAAAAAAAAAAACCCTCCTGAGAGGGAATAGCCCTGAACAAAGGGCTCCAAGCTGTACACTGTGAAAGAAAAAATTATTCAGGCCACTTGTTAAAAAAAGGAAGGCAGATCATATTCAAAGAGAGCTACTACAGTGGGGTTTTACAGTAGGAGAGAGAGATTGGGTTCAACTCTGAATACGATAAGGAAAGGTGGGAATTTATAGCCAAGGAGTAGGGTAAGGGTATTGGTGGATAGAAAATTACTAAGAGATAGAGTGGTTCTTTACTAAACTGAACCAACAGGATTTTTGCTAAAGGCAAGCCAGGGTGATCAGGTATCAAGCGTGGTCAGACCAAGGCCAACTCAGCAGGATTCTTGCTAAAACTGGGATAAACTGGCCAAGGCAGAGCCCATGGTTGGGGCCTAGTCAAAAGGAAGACTCAGAGGAGACTGACTAGAGGTGGGTCAAGGAGGGTCTTTGTCAGTACCCCAAGGAATACAAAAAGAGGTTTGTTCAGAGTGTATGAGTTGCATTCTAAAAAGTTTTACCCTCAGAAGCATCAATGCTGTTGGTTTAAGCCAACCCATCTGGCATAATGACTCATTTATATAACATAAAACCTGGTTAGAAATTATATACAAGTGTTCACTACCCAATTCTTTTAATTGTGTATATTTGAAAATTTGAATTTAAAAAGCTGGAGAAAAAAAAGATAAAAAAAAAAAAAAGAATAGTGTAAACTACCTGGTAGATAGGTTAGTGATTTCAAAAATCAATATAACCCTTCCTCAAAAAATTAAAAATAGAAATACCATTTGGTGCAATAATTCTAGTACTAGGTATTTACCCAAAGAATATGAAAACATTAATTCAAAAAGATATATACACCCCTATGTTTACTGCAACATTTTTTACAATAGCCAAGATATGGAAGCAAACCAAGTGTCCATCGATAAATGAATAAAGAAGATGTGGTATATATATATGGTGGAATATTACTCAGCCATAAAAAAAGATGAGATCTTGCTATTTGCAGCAACATAGATGGACCTAGACAGAGTTATGCTAAGTGAAATAAGTCAGAGAAAGACAAATACCGTATGATTTCACTTACATGTAGAATCTAAAAAACAAATGAATAAACAAACAAAAAAAACAAAACAAAACCCCAAAACAGAATCCGACCTATAAATACAAAGAACAAACTGATGGTTGCCAAAGGGGACAGGGATGAGGGGATGGGCAAAATGGGTGAAGGAGAGAGGGAGAGCAGGCTTCTGGTTACGGAATGAGTAAGTCACGGAGGCGAAAGGCAGAGCACAGGGAATATACTGTGTATGTGATAGGTTGTACGGTGACAGAGGGCGGCTACACTCGTGGTGAGCACAGCATCACGCATAGCCTTGTTGAACCGCTATCTTGCACACCTGACACTAAGGTAACATTGTGTGTCAGCTATACTCAAAAAAAAGTTTAAAAAATCAATATGGCCCCAACTATAACACCAAAGAAAAAGAAAACAGAAGTAATTTATACCATAGCTTGGACTTCCGGATGCGAATGCTCAGCCTGATGTAACTCAGAAACATCATGACGTCATGGGCTTGCTCCGGTAGGTACATTACTGTCAATGACACAGCCGAAAATGCAGCCTGACTGCAGTGCGTGCTGGCAAATTAAATACCAGGCTATTTTCTCAAACAGGGAACAAACTACCGTTTTGTCTCCATTTTCATAGTAACTGCGTTCTTCAGAATGCCCTCGTGCGTTGAGACTGTGCCAGAAGTCATGTTGCGTTGATATGTAAAAGTGTGTTAGATTCTAGGCACAGATCCTTCCAACCTGGTTTTCCAGCCAGGCCCCGGGGCGCGCAGTTCTTCAGGACTTCCCCGGGCTCTGTGCGACCCGGCCCCCCGCCCCGGGCCCTGCCCACGGAAGGCCAGGAGAGCCCCCATCTTTGTGACAACCAAAAACTCCCTGGAAGATTTCCAAAGTGCCTTCTTGGGGGAAGGAGCCCTTCTTGGAACCTTCTGGTCTAAGCCACAGAAATCCATGGGATCCTCTAGACAGAAAAAACAGGCAGCTAAAATGAGATCACCTGACTCTTAAAAAAAAAAATTAGCTAGAGCATTGCACTCTGCACTCATTATCTTTTGCAGCAAATTTCTTTTTTTTTTTAAAGATTTTATTTATTTATTTGAGACAGAGAGAATGAGAGAGACAGAGAGCACATGAGAGGGGGGAGGGTCAGAGGGAGAAGCAGACTCCCTGCTGAGCAAGGAGCCCGATGTGGGACTCGATCCTAGGACTCCAGGATCATGACCTGAGCCGAAGGCAGTCGCTTAACCAACTGAGCCACCCAGGCGCCCCGCAGCAAATTTCTTCATTATCACCAGCTTCTAAGGCCTTGTTTGTTTGCAGAAACATGAGGTTTGCTTGGCTTTCCTGTGCTTTCCCATTCCCTCTGTTTAATCTCTTAATATATCTGGCTGCTTGATATGGATCTGTAACCAGACAAGGTGGTTAATATGTGTGAATTCCTTCCCACAGGACCCATCCCTGTGGAGTTTCAGTTCTCTTTGCAGCATGTAGACCGTCAGAACTAACTCAATACTAGATTCACATTCGGGGCTGTGAATCCTTCAACAGAATCAGCTCAGTCCTTTGGGGATATGGTAATGGTGATATGGTGTTTCCTCCCTTGCAGCTCACATTCAGAGGATATGAGGGTTGCAAGTGAAGAGAACAGAGCGCGTCACCTCCCTCCACTGCGTTCTGTTTTTCAAACTGTGAGCCCTAGATTTACATGCAGAATAAGAGCAGCAGGTGTTCAGGAGAGAGCAGGGAGCAGTGATTCTCAGATGTGTTCCCTGGGCCACCAGTGGCCGCAGCAGCACCGAAGAGCTTGCTGGAAATGCGGAGTGTCGCCCCTATTCAGACCGACCGCGTCAGAAACTCCGGGGGTGGGGTCCAACACTGTTTTATGGATCAAGGCCTCCAGGTGATTTTGATGCAAGGGGAAGTTTGTGAGCTGATGGTACAGAAGAAACTTGGATTCGAAGGCTGTGTCTTAGCCCATTCAAGCTGCTGTAACACACGCCCAGCGCCTGGGTGATTTCGGAACACCAGAAATCTCTCACGGTTCTGGAGGCCGGGCAGGGCGAGATTAAGGCACAGCAGATGAGTGTTTCTTGTGGGCCGGCTTTCTGGTTCACAGTTGGCCCATCTTCTGTGTCCTCACGGGGCAAAAGGCACGAGGGAGCTCTCTGGGGTCCCTTTTAGGAGGGCACTAATCCCATTCGCGAGGGCTCTGCCTTTATGACCCGATTACCTCCCAAAGGCCCTACCTCCAAATACCATCCCATTGCGGGGGGGTGAGTTTCAACATAGGAATTTGGGTGAGGGGACAAAAACATTCAGTCTATGGCAGGCTATTTCAGTCATTTAACAACTTTGTTACCCTGAATAAGTTCTTTTCTCCCTAAACTGGTGGTTGGCCACCCTGGCTATGCCTTAGAACCACGTGGGGAGCTCTGAAGCCCACTGCCGTCTGGGCACTGCCCCAGGCCAATTAAATGGGAGTCTCTGCCGAGAGCCCCAGGCATCGATGGTTTTAAATCTCTCCAGGTGGTTTTGGCGCAGGGAGTCCCTCCTCCTGGAGTTGGCAAGGATATGGCTAGCCCCTCTCCCTGGGTGAGAGGTGATGCTAGGACTCATGTGTCACATATGTGAACATGGCCCATTAGACCACAAGGCGGAGCATGAGGAGCTTTAGGAAGAAGGAGCCTTTCCTCCTCTGCGCTCCGGCACGCCCCCCCTCAGCCCTTGTAGGGCTGCTGGCTCTTAGATTACACAGGGTAGAACTTGCCGTGAATGTCCTCTGTTCTTCACGGAACAGGGCTGAGTCCTGAGCCAGGACCCCGAGATTTCTGATGCTTTTCTTCCCCCCCACTCTGAAGCACTGACACTGGAACAAGTCCCGTATCTTCCTGACATTTGTCTCAACTGAACGGAAGATCAGCAAGTTGAGATGTTTGGATTTCTGTGGGTGTCTGCTGTTACGGCATAAAATCTGTAGGCCCTTACCACTGTTTCTGGCCACTCACTCATCATGAAATCCACCAGGGTGGAAGTAAACACTCTTGGGACAGAATGTACTGTCAGGCCTCGTGCACCTGCCGTAGTATCGGGGCTGAGCGGTCAGCCGAGCCTGGAGCCCTGCGGCTGACGTTTCCCTTGAGGCTGGTCGCTAGGCTGACAAGGAGGGGACATTGTTTGAGTCTCACAGGGGACAAAAACAAAGCATCCAAGTCCCTCCGGGAAGGTCTAGGAACAAAGGTCAGCTCCTGGTGGTGTAGGAAGCTTTACTATTTCCCTGGCTCGGTGACTTAGGAAAAAAATCTGAATTCATGGAATTAATGAATTGGGCACACCTCTTCCGAGAACCTTTACGGGATCCCCAAAAAGAAAAAGATTCGGATACTAATGTCAAGAGGCTTATAACTGAGTGGGGACAGAACCTCGACCACACAGGCACGGAGAGCTAAGTGCCAGACGAGGGACTGAAGGCTGGAGGTTTGCACAAGTCACGGGGAGGAGGAGCCCGCTTCTTCACCTGGGAGGATCTGAGGAGGCTGCCTGGACAAGGCAGCCTTTCACTGGAGCCTGCCAGGGTTGATGAGGCAACTAACACACTCCGTCCCAGCTCACATGCCCCTGGCAGGGGTCTCCCCGACCACACTGTCAAAAGTACCATCCTGTCGTTCCTGCCTCACACTCTGCTTTATTTTTCTCCATGGCACTTACCACCACCTGCCTTCGCCTCTGTTTATTTTTGGTAAATAACGCTACGAGGTAAGCTCCATGAGTATTAACATCCCGTCTGTTCTGGTCATCCTTATACCTGGTGAATAAATGAACGAATGGATAGGTGGATAAACTTTTCTTTCCTAGGGCATCACTGGAATCCGTTTTGCTGGAGGAGAGAAGTGCTACATCAAAGCACAGGTGAAGGCTCGCGTTCCAGAGGTGGGCACCGTGACCAAACAGAGCATCTCCTCCGAACTGGTGGGTTCCCTCGGCATGCGTGACAGCAAGGGGGGTCTGACAGACATCGTTTGACTCCACGGCCCTTTCTGTCTCTGGTTCCTGGATAGCTTCATGACCAGAACATAAGTTCTATTCCTTCTCTGCTGAAGAAATTAAAACTATTTTGGTCCTACTTGTTGATCCCCAGAGATCATACTTATATGATGTAGTATCCTTAAAGGTTTCGGTAAACCATATTTTAAAGCGCATAAAGGGGCTCAGTCTTCACATGGCCCTTGTTTGCCTAATTTTTTAGGGGGGGGACTGTCTGATTAGTGATGAAAACAATATAAAGGACTTCTCATGACAGACTCTTCAGTAAAGGGGCCTCAGGAGCTTTCTAGCCTCAGTTCCACTCAGTGTGGGAATTCCTCCTGAAAATCTCCAGCAGCTGGATCACCACACCTGTGCTGGAAAGCAGCGACAGGGCCCCCTTCCCTGGGCGCCAGACAACTTGCCGGGGGAGTGGGGGGGGGCGCGCAGTTCAAACCGTTGTGCCTACTCTGAGCTGAGCTGGCTCCCCTACAGTTTCTTCCCCTTGGCTCGAGTGCAGCCCAGTGAAGCTTCTTAACATGTATTAATTCCTTTCCTACGTCTCAGACGCGTGAGGTTTTTTAAGCATAATTCTTCCATTTATTATGAACAACTTGCCTCTGAGCTTGATTTTATAAAAATTTACTTTAAGAATTGCACAGAGTTCTAAAGACACATCTAATACCTTAAAGTTTATCCGATGCTTTAGGGCTTACGAAGCGGTCACATGATTGTTGTCCTCCATTTGCGTTGTGGCGGGGTGCAGTGGGAAGAATATAGACTTTGTGGAGTTAGAAAATTGTGGGTTCAAATCCCAGCTCTGACGCTCACTATGGATGTGGCTTCAATTCTTTGCGCCTCAGTTTTGTCATCTACAAACTAAGGGTCTGCCTCCTGTCTCTGGGGCTTAGAACCCACTGGATAATGACTACTTAGTTGCTGCTATAAATTACTAATTCCATTATGATCAGCTTTGGCTCTCCCTGCATCCCTGAGAGGGAGGTAAAGCATCCGGTCCCTTAAGGCAAAGGAAGAAAAATAAGGGTAAGCAAAGGTGCCTGGAAACTGATTGTTTGCTGTCATAGAGAGCAGCCTCAGGTGTCTCTGAACAAAACAAAACACAAGCTACAACAAACCGGTGAGTTTTTAAAGCTGGCCGTTATAGTACAGACTGTAAAAATGACACCCAGCCCGCCTTCGTTCTGAGCCTTGAGCTTCTCTTAGTGCATTACCATTTTGTTACAGTCCTATTACTCAATTTCTGCAATGCGGAATCCTTTACTCGTGTTCTCTGTCAACAGACCTAGAAGCAGTTCTCGTCCCCTGCCTTCCGAAAGAGCCAGCTCTCTAGCCGCAGCTGACCGATATCTAATCCTAAGTTTGCAGTACTTTTCCAGGGCCTTTTAAAAACAAGTGTTTTTTTTTGTTGTTTTTCCTTTTTAAAAACAATACTTGGTCACTACAGAAAATTTGGGAAATACATAAAAGAACAGAGAAGAAAATCACCCACAGTGGCTTAATTCCACAGATGTTCATGTTAATACTAATGTTAATGTTTTGGTGAATTATTGTCGTGTGCGGGTGTGTGATATTCTTTTCATAATTGAAGTTATATTTTTCTACATTCTTATTACCCTCACTTTAGTTCTTCTAAAATGTAGATTATAATGGATATGTTACATATTCAGATGGTTATAATTTGAAAGTCTTTTGTTCTTGAATACTTCAGCCATCTTCAGTTTTTCACTCTTTCAAATAACAATTCAAAATAATTACTTGAATATAGAAATAATTCACGGTGATGAACGGTTTAGCATTTTGCAGCTTTGTCTGCATCTGATTTTCTCAGACCATAGAGGCTGATTTTTCCTGTGTTTGCGTTGTTTCTATTGTGCTTGGTGGATCCTCTGGTGGACAAAGCCAAATTCAGGCAACATGTTTGCGTGAATTAGGAATGTGTCCAGCTGTCAGTAGCAGAAAACTACAGAGTGACTTAAACACAAAAGGATTTGTTTTCCTCCATAGTGGGCCATGTGGAGGGAGGGGGCTGCCGGTGTCGGCTTGGGGGCTGGCACTGCTGCTGTTTGTGGCCTTTCCGTCCCTGCTCCGTCAACCATGCATTCAAGTAAGGAAGTCAGGAAGAGGTTGAGCAGTGTCAACCATGACTTATCCTCGTCAGGAAAAGTAGAAGGCTTCGCAGCACCTCAGCATGCTTCAGTGTGACCTGCATAGTCTAGAACTGGTCACGCGGGCACCCCTAGCTGCTGGCGTCTCACCTGGGGGCGGGGACACTGCCGCCTCACACAAAAGCAGGACTGTGTGGCAGGGGCGGGGAGAGGAGAGATGGGGCAGGCAGCTGAGGCCGTGTGCCCTAAGTTGATTGCACATTGCCAGCTTGTAAGATGCATAGGTCTGCATTACCCCTACCACCCCACTCTCTCCCCCGCACACTTTAGGTTATGATGGGGTAGATTTATGCACCACTTGATCTCATACATTTTTCATCAGTTTTGTATAACTTTAAAAAGCTGCTATACCCAAAGAGCATTCATTTCCTGGATGGAGCCATTTAATTTAAGGTAAATAACTGGATTACCTGAGTGTTAGCGTCCTCCAATAACTTTAAGTTGTTTTAATGCAACCATAAACCTGGGGGTCGAGAAAGTATAAATGAAGTGCTGCTTTTAGCTAAAAATATGGAGAAAACATATTAAGTTCTCCAACCTATTGCAAACTAATAAATATATGAAAGGAACAACCTGGCAAAATAAATTTGTCTCCTGGGTTATCAGACGGTTCTCAGCATCTCACTGTAGAAGAAAATCCAGGATTTAGCTTTGAAATCTCAGTGGTATGCTTGATGCAAGGAACATCTGAAATGTGTTTTTTATAGCTGGGAAATGTAGAAATGGTTTATGTTAAATAATACTTTGAACTGAAGACATTAAAGAACCAATCACTTGCTTTTTCCATTGTTGTTCAGAAGCTGCAGAACAAAACCCCAAAGGATTTTCACTTCAAATGAAGGGCTCCTCTATCCTTTATAGGATTTCAGAGTCCGTTCAATTGCTTTTCCTCAAAAAATCTTTGATCAAAAACATCAGATTAACCTAAGTCTCAAAGTTGGTATCAAGTAATTTTCACTTCCATTCAGGACACTCAATATTCACACATTTCAGTTATCCAAAGGCAGGGCGACAAGAGGGGCAAAGACAACACTGTGAAGAGAGTTACAAAGACAAAAGACACACACCACACCACACCCCCGCCCCCCCACTACACACCACACACAAAACCCACAACCCCACACATACCCCCTACACACACACCCCCACACCCATCCCACACACCCTACATACCCCACACACTACACACCGCAAATCCCCTCACCACACACATACCACATACACACCCCACAACCCCATATATACCCCCCTACACATACACACCCCCACACACCCCAAATGCCCACTCACCACATACATACCCAACCCCACATACCCCCCTACACATATACACCCCCACACCCACCCCACACGCCCTACATACCTCCCCACATACACCACACCCCACACACACCACACATACCCCACAACCCCACACATAACCCCCTACACATACACACCCCCACACCCACCCCATACTCTACATACCCCCCACATATACCATACCCCTCCATACATGCCACAAATCCCCACACACAGCACATACTACACACATCCCATATCCCCACACCACATACACACCCCATACACATACCCCCTACACACACACACCCACACACCCCACATCCCCACACCACATACACACCCCATAACCCCACACATACCCCCCTACACATACACACCCCCACACCCACCCCATACTCTACATACCCCCCACATATACCATACCCCCCCATACACACAAATCCCCACACCACACACACACAGTTCTCATTAAGTTTTTATTAGGTGAAATAATCTACACAGCATGTTTCACTGTCCTCTTTGCTCAATGCATTTCATTTTTACTTACTTGCAGGAAGGCAAGATCATGCCAGTTAAATATGAAGAAAATTCTCTTATCTGGGTGGCTGTAGACCAGCCTGTGAAGGACAACAGCTTCTTGAGTTCTAAAGTCTTAGAACTCTGTGGCGACCTTCCTATTTTCTGGCTTAAGCCAACATATCCAAAAGGTAACATTTTAAATCCTCTTAATGCTGCTGGGAATTCTGTTTATGTGTTTCCTGTGAGCCCTTCCGCAGGCCTGAGCCTGTAACAAGGAAGATACATCAGGATGCGTGCCACAGTGTCTCAGTAATTGGCAAAAGAGATCAAAGAGAAGGAGGTTGACTGTCATGAATGTTTTAGGGACGAGCAGCAGGGTTAACAGGAAGTGGATCAGGGAGATAGAATACCACTGCATTATCTGCCATTTTTATGACACTCCCCCCTTCTTTCTGCTCTGCCCCTTAATCTAAGTTGTTTGCACTTTCAATTTTACATTTTTTTTTTATTCCCACGGCAGAGAATCAAGGGACTAAGAAGCTGTCATACTGCTGAATCTTTATTATGTTCAAACCTAGAATTATGGGACAGCCAAAAGCTGCTTTGGGTATAGGCTGAAATTCTTCCAAGTTCAAGGCTTGAGCATTGGCTTCCAGGTCCGTTGAAAAGAAATGAAGGGCCCCTGGGGTTCAGAGCTAGCCTGGAACACACCCTTGAGCTATCTGTGGGTGGTGAAGGGCAAGTGAGCCCCGAGGGCCAACTCTTTCCCGAGTTTCTCCGTCCCCAGGGGTCCTTTCACTCCTCACCACCAGTCGCCCCACTGCACCCATCCCCCAAAGGCCTACTTTGTAGCTATGGCTCAAGTGTAGAAGAAAGGCCTTTCTCCCAGCACAGCTGACATACACTCTGTCTTCTGAAAGATTTTATTGGACACAGAGCAGCACGGAAATCAAATACAGGCATTAAAACCACCAAGCTCTGGAGGGGCAGCGGGCAGTGATTATAGAGAGAGAGCAGTTACAGTTTCGCCAGATGAAAGAAGTTATGGAGATAGATGGCTGCACAGCAATGTGAATGCACGGAATGCCCCTCAACTTTACAATTAAAAATGGTCAAAATGGTAAATTTTATATTTTACCACAATTAAAAAAATCTCACCAGGCTTAGAAAGTCCAGGCTTCTGATTCTGTCACCGCTAACTTATTCCTACAGGTCACAAGTCTCCTTATGTCCCAAAGCTTGGATAAGATGGTTACTTTCTGACCCAGGCAAAGCCAATAGGATCCAATTTATAAGCCACTGGCAGTGGCCTCTTGGAGGAGAGAGTTGAGAAGGATCCTGAGGCCACATGCAGGCTCAGTAAGGAGGAGTGGCATGAGCAGTGTGTCACCTCTGCAGGGGCTGGAGAGGGCTGCCAAACGGACTGTCACTTTGCCATCCCTGCTCTTGCTGCAGTGTGTGCTCGCAACTCACAATTCTATGACCTTTTGCCAAGTGCTGGCTTCTGATTCCTCACCTGCCTCCACAAGGAACGAGCCTTCTTGCTTTCCACCTCCCAGGAACTACTCCCAACACTTGTCACCTTGTCCACTCAAGGACAAAAGCCTCTGACTCTGCTACTATGTAGAGCTCTCTGTAATCACTTTGTTTGAAGACAAGCCTCTTATCCAGTTCATTCATTTATTCAACACACTTTTTTGAAGGCTTATTACGTGCCATTTGCGCGCTCTCGGTAATTGGGATGCATTGGTGCAGAACGGACAAGAATCCCTGCCCTCAGGGAGTTCACACTGTAGCAAGGGGAAACAGTAAACACACACTAAATTAAAATAAGAAAAGCATATGGTAGGATACAAGGTGCTATGGAAAAATAACAGAGCAGGGCAAAGAGGGTGGGGGTGGAGACGTGAAGCCGGTGCTAGTCTGACTGATAGGAGGAGTACCTTTACCCTTTGGCAAAGAGTGTGCTCCCTACTTCCGAGATGTAGCCTGGCCCCTCACCGCCCACAGCATGACCACAGCTTAAGTATTCAATCATCACAACACCCACCCCAGAATGACCTGTTGCGTACACCACCAGCAAAGTGGAAACCACCTAAATGCCCCAAGTTGGAAAGGGTTAAATAACTGTTAGCCATAGGGTGGAATATTACACACATTAAAGATGGTTTGGTTTTTTTTTCAGTCTCTCATAAATGCAGTCACATTTAACGATAAAATCAAGAAAATAAAATCCACTCTGAAGATGCCTGGTCCCTAACACCTAATTCTAATAAAAACTCCCCAACTCCAGGGTCCAGCAACCTCTGCTGGGTCCTTAAGCTGGCAGGTCATCAGCATCATGTAGCTGTATTATCAAAGACAGTGGCGGCTGGACAAGGTCAGAGGGAAGGGTGACAGCTGGTGGCTGCTGAGCTCTGGCTGCATGCCAGCTACCAGTCACTGTGCTAGAGCTTTAGGTTTTGTCCCCACTCTTTACCAACAACTGTCCAGGTAACTACAAATATTCCCATAGATGAAGAAACCAAGGTTCATGGAGATTTAATAACTTGCCTGAGGTCATTCAGTTCAATAAAGTGGTGGTGTTCGGATTTGAATCCAGGGCTCCCTGATGCCTCTCCAATCATGAACTCAGAAATCTAGAAGTTATCCGTGGAAGCTCCCCATGGCTGTAAAGCCCATCTAAGTTCTCAGAAATAACACAGCATGATATAATCATCATCACCTAACATTTGAGTGCTTATTATATGCCAAATGTTATGCTAAAACCCTCAGACACAGCTCTATCCCTCTATCAGTACTCTGTGAATTGGATATATTATCTCCATTTTACAGATGAAGAAAGTGAGACTCAGAGACACCAAAACCAGTGCCGTGTGGTACTTCCCATGTGTGTTATTCGGCAGCCGTGGGTCATGCCGCAGGCCCCCTGTGGTGGTGTGATGGGACTAGAGTACTGGGCTGGGAGCCAGAGAAGTTCACGTTTGCCTTCTGTTTCTGCCACCCATTCTGTGATCTTGGCCAAGTCTCTTGGTCTTTCTAAGCCTTGATGCCCTTGTGTATAAAAGTATCTGCTTTTTCTATCCCGCCCATAGCATTTTAAAAGACTCAACCAAGATAACAAATCTCCTGAAAATTATAAAGCTTCATACATATACAGTCAATCCATTAAGAAAGCACTCAGGGCTGGGGTGCCTCATTGGCTCAGCTGGTAAAGCATGTGACTCTTGATCTCAGGGTTGTGAGTTCAAGCCCCAGGTTGGGTGTGGAGTTTACTAAAAAAAAACAAGAAAAGAATGCTCAGGCCTTCAAGTAGCCTTGAATGAATACCTGATCATCGGTGGTTTCAATAAATAAAGGTTTTTGTCAGAAGTCTGGAGGTTGGTTTCTGGCATTAGTAGCTACTCAGCGATATCACCAGGGCTTTTTCTAGCCTACTGTTTTGCTACCCATACCATATTGGTTTATCATCCTTGTGCCTATCCCTCTGGTCACAAATTGGCTCTCATAACCCAGGTATGTCTATGTTCAAGAAAAGAAGACAAGACAGAGAAAGCTGTTTCAGTCCTCTTTTTACCAAGAAAGCAAAAGCTTTCCCAGAAACTGCACCAATATATTCTGCTTATATCTCACTGGTCAGAAATGTTCCATCTGGTCTCTCTTAATTGGAAGGGAGGCTAGGGAAACAAGTGGTATTTTACTTCCTCAGCCCCTATAGGAGAGGCAGGTAAGGAAAAAGGATTGAGAATGGATTTTTGTTAGCTAGTTCACAATATAAAATGCCTCAGTTGGGACTATAAAACCAAATCTTGGTTATCTGTATGTTAACCCAAGACTCTGAAACATGCTTTATTATTTTAAAAATCCTCAATACAAATTTTAATAATTAGACAAGAATGTGTTTTGATACCCCTTTATGCTTTTACCCATATAATCATAGTACTCCTTAGTTATCCAAATAAATGAATTAACTTAGAGCAATTTTTTTTTTTTTATAAGAAATCCAGAGAGAAAGAAGAGAATTGGTAAGAAAAATTGTTACAACTACCACAAGAAGACCACACAGTGGACCACGGGGCAACCCAGGCCCCGGAGGACCAAGTAACAAAACCACACCCAGTGTTCAAGAGGATTCAGAACCCTTCAATCCAGACAACCCTTACCATGTACGTACTGATGTTTTCATGACTGCTCAGACGAATCCCTTGAACGTAACATTGAAGTGGTGGTTATTTCTACTTGAGGCTTCAAATGAGCACTTAATAGTCAACTTAGATTTTTACTCAATTATTTAAAAAAATGCATCTGAATTTGTCACAGAGTTTACAAAATGAGGGTAAGACACTTAAGTATGGTCTCTGTAGTGTGAAATCCAGTTTGGTTGTAACCCTTATTCAAACTTGTTTTCTGTGCTCTCCCTTTATTGAGTCACAGGCAAATCCGTAAAGACAAATTCATATCAGGAATTTGATTATTCAAAAAATGTTTCCAAGAATGTGCCCTGGGGACAAGACATGGAATGAAAGTATTCTCTTTCTCCCTTTATATCTACTTTATTCACCCATTCAACAGACATTTGCTGAGAACCTGCTCTTTCCCAGGCCCTATGCACACAGACAGGAGTTAACTTCTGCATTTGGGGGCTCTCAGTCCAGGGGGGAGACAGATTCATATACACAGATAAAACAATTTAGACTGAAACACTGGGCACTGGTGTTTATAAGGATGGCACTAACGTGCTAAAAACTTCTCAAATCCTCAAAAAATATTTACCGTAAGCGAAGGGAGCAAAAGAATAATACGTAAATTTTTGTAACTAGTGTTTTAAATGAAAAAATAATACATGCATATATTTTCTTAAAGTAAAAAAGGGTATACAATTAAATGTGTTTCCCTTCCACCTCACTTTCCCCAGAGCAATACATTAATAATAGCTATTTGCCCAGTTTTCTTTGCACAAGAAAGTGTACCACACAAACACATTATTAACACAAAAGAGCATACACTTCTATACGCTGCTTTCTTTCCAGTTACAATATTTTGGAGATTGTTCTGTATCTCCTCCATACATCTACCTCATTCATTTTAATGACCACATCATATACCATTGCGCAGATAGATGTACGGAAATTTAACTAGTTCTACTTTGGTGGACATGTAGATTATTACCCTATCTTTTGCTCCTATAAAATACTGTTAATAGTATACAACATTGTACATGCCCCACATGGTCATGCGACGGAGTAAATGAGGTAACGCAGGCAAAGCTCTTAGCACAGCTTGGTACAATGTAGGCATGATCTTGCTTGGTATTAACTATTAGTCTTATTATACCTCTTGTACACGTGTTGGAATTTTTTTTTTAGCATAAATATGGATGTATGGGTCTACTGGGTCAAAGGAGATGGGAATTTTACATTATTTAATGGAGGATGCCAAATTATCTCCCAAGGAATTAAACCAGCTACAGGTCTTCAATGGTAATGAAAGGGACTCATTTATTATCAAACCTCAAAAAAAAAAATCTTTACACCAGTCTAAAGTGTATCCTCTTCTTGTTTCATCTTGCCTGTCTTTATGTGTAAGGTTGAGCATCTTTTTATAGGCCAATTCATTTGCATATTTTTCCCTGTATAGCCTATTCAGTCCTATACTGTTTCATGTGTTACAGATTTAATTTTCTAGGTTATCATTTTAGACTAATATATTTTAGAAAGATTTAGAGCAAAAAGTATTTTTTAAATGACCCAAGGCTTACTGGAAAATTCAGGATACCACAGTACTTCATTCCCTGAAGCTCAAATAGTAAAAAAATAAATCTGAATAGGCAAACAGAAAATTTAATATAGTTTATTCCCTAGGTAGCTGGGCTAGCTAAATCTGGTTCAAGGGAGAGGGCATCAGCCCCTTCACAGAAGGGCAGGATGTGACTTTGCCTTGCTTTCAGATTTGAATGATCCATTTTCTCTGAAAAACTCCCAATTCTATCAGTTTTTCCTTTATTTCATGCTCAGCTTTAAGAAACATCTCCCCATGATCTCAGTCCTTCACATGTTCCTTTAAGGAAATATCCTGGGGCAATAAGCTGAGATTTCCTCCCAACTTTCAAATCCTAACAAACCTTTGTTGAACCCTCAGATGAGGCAATGTCTCAACCGACAGGCTTTTGACTCCCCCTACCCTGGAAGAGTCAGCTACAATCAGTGAATGAGCTGGTTTTCTTTTTGCTGTCCCAGATGAACCTAGTTCAAGAGATAAAGGGGAAAAAATGGAAAGTCTGAAGAATAAAGAAAAAAATGGTTTGAGAGAGTAAGGCAAATATTTTGACGATAAAATCTGAACATAAGCTCTATCAGATGGTGTTAAGGAATTATCAATTTTGTTAGATATGATAATGACATTGTAGTTGTGTAGGCAAAATGCTGTTTTAGAGGTGCACTCTAATGTATTTATGGGTGAAATGTCACAATACCTTCAATTCTCTTTAAAGTCACTTCAAATCTAAAATACTTCAGAAAAGGTCAAGCACATTTGACAAAAGGTTAGCAACTATCAAAACTAGATGATGTTCAGTACACTCTCCACTCTGCAGTGTTTGATATTCCAAATAATAAAAAGCACCCCCCCAAAAAGGTTAAGACTTGTTTGTGTACCAGCAAAGGTGACAGGGTTACCAAGGTTCACTTTGTTCAAGCCTGACCTATGTTTGGTGCTACATCTCCCCAGGTTCAAGTCTCTCAAGGAAAGAGACTTCAAGTGAATAAAGAATACACATTAAGGGCTTCTTGGCAATATAACTCAATAACATATTAAAGAGAATGCAGAATCTAAACCCCTAGGAACCTATGAAAAGGAAAACCAGATACATAGATTTGCCGGAGGGCAAGGTCCTTCCAGTTCTGTGGTATCTCCGGCAGTGAAAATAGGGATTGTGTAGGTGATTTTTACTCCATGATTTTGTTTATGTAGTAATAATGGCACATAGAAACTAGAAAATAAAGTTTAAGGTCTTGAATTTTTAGACATTATATGGAGCTTTTTCCTGAGTGTTATAGACACCTTCAGGCTGAAATGACGGCAGAATCTAAATGATGTCAGTGTTCTCAGCCAGTGCAGTTGTAACAGCAATCTGTTAGCCTAGATCAAGGACTTTTCAAAAGGTGCTCCAAGAGCCCTGGAGGCCACCAGTACAAAATGGCACTAGTGTTCCACTCACTCAGTTAGTAGTGGCAGAAATGCTACTTTTGAATGTCTTTTTGTTTGCCTAACTCAAGACAAGCTGAGTCACTACTGAGTGGGAATCATGGCTCATTAAAAGCATAGAGAAGGGGCGCCTGGGTGGCTCAGTTGGTTGAGCGACTGCCTTCGGCTCAGGTCATGATCCTGGAGTCCCGGGATCGAGTCCCGCATCGGGCTCCCTGCTCGGCAGGGAGTCTGCTTCTCCCTCTGACCCTTCCCTCTCTCATGTGCTTTCTCTCATTCTCTCTCTCTCAAATAAATAAATAAAATCTTTTTAAAAATAAATAAATAAATAAATAAAAGAGCATAGAGAAACTTCGTAATATTAAAAACAAAAAAACCAACTTCCTCCCAGTGACAGATGGAGGTCCCTTGATGTTTTAGAAGGAATTCTGAATTATAAGGTTATAATCAAGATTGAAAACCTCTTACAGAAAATTATGCTCATTTCTTGTACCACTGTAACATTCAGGATCTTATTTTAAAATAATGTGCATGCTATCTACTTCTCATTATGAAGAACACACAAATAATTACCTTTTATTTGACGGCAGCAGGAAGGGGAAGGCATGACATTTGACCCGAGACTGGATCACGAAGGAATCTGCTGTATAGAATGCAGACGGAGCTACACTCATTGCCAGAAGATCTGTGAACCCCTTGGGGGCTACTACCCATGGCCTTACAATTATCAAGGTTGCCGTTCAGCGTGCAGAGTCGTCATGCCATGTAGCTGGTGGGTGGCCCGCATCTTGGGCATGGTGTGAAATCACTTCATATACCAGGTGCTTGTACCATAAAAACTAACTCAAGAGACAACCAGAGTACGAGGCATCTTGATGCTGAAGGAACCACAAAGTATTTTATGCACTGTTATTCGAGATACTTTTAACAAATGCTCTCAATTGCTTTATAGAACTTTTATCCAGAAGGTGCAAATGTACTGAAAGGGTAGTTTAACGCTAAAATGCCATAACCATCCTTTTATTACTTGCTATTTTTTATTTGCTTTGCTTTGCCAATAAGGCCTACTTATAAGACTAACTTCCCAAGCTACTTTGAAATAAACATGAAAAATCACAATGTCAAAGATCTCAGTTGTACACCGGAGTTCTTTTTAAAATCAAGTCACTGAAGTAATTAAATTGGTTTGGGTTGTTATTTATACAGAATTCCTCCATTGGTCTTAACCTTTATTGTTCTTCCCAGTCTTGCATATGTGCTCCAAAGTTCCCACATAAAAACACAAACAAAAAAGTAAAAGGGGACATATAATGGAATTTACCCGAGAGCAAGCACTATAAACTTCAAGGTGGTAGCTCACAGGAAATCTGTAATTTACAGTTTGTGCTGGCATGTGATTAACAGGTGGCTGCCCTATGTCAGGAGTCACCCCATGGAAAAGAGCATTAGTATAAAGTGGGAAAATGAAGTCAAAGATAAATCTGACTTGTGGGAAAGACTTCCATTGACATTCTGAAAAGCAGGTCTTCACATCCTTTTCAATCTGTTCAGTAAGTGGTCACTGGGCATGAAGCAGAGTGATGGCTACCTTTGTAGTACAAATCAGGCTGGTGATGTAGTCCAATTACCAGTTAAGTTACTCTCATAGTAATAGGACTGACAGTGCTGCTTGGCAGATCTGGCTGAGAGGAATGGCTTATTTATAATGACATAAAGTCTCTTAGGAACAAGGACTGTCTTCAGAAACTTTAGAAACTGAAATACTAGATCAGGAAAATGAGCAAGTATTTCGTATTTCTGACATTTTAGTTTTGAATCCCACAGTTTGAGAGACAAAGAACCTTCTCAAGGAAAATAAAAAAGTTTTCCAAAACAATACAATGATTCAGAGATGACAGAAAGGTCTTGATACCATGATCTCACTTATTCTAAATAAACCTTATTATTGTACATCTAGTGTTTGCCAAATTAAGTTGGTAAAATCTTACAATTTCTTAAACCTGGTTATCAGATGAACATTTGTATGTCTGCATTTAATGGAACATATACAGTAAGTTAGGTCTCTGCATGAAAAAGATATGAAGGAAAGATACATGCAGAATTATATGTCTAATGGTCACACTGTTCTCAGGCAGCAGCTACTTCTGGCACAGATAGGGATTTTACATGTTTAGTCTTTAAAACGGTTGTTACTCTATTAACTAAGCAAATATGTGGTCAATGGTTCTGCCTACCATCTCCAACCTCACTGTCCAGCAACCTGTACTTGATTCTAGAACTAAATAAAAAGGAAAAAAAAAAAAAACACACCACCACCAAAAAGACTCAGTGATCCCAGCCCAGAAGAGCTTGTGGTCTCATGAGGGACAGAGATAATTGGGACTCAGTACACAAAAAGCCTTGACAAAGATGGGAGCACTGGGCTTCTTGGAGGAAGAGAATGCCTTTGCTAGGTCTTCAAGGATGAGCAGGAGTTAGGCAGGTAAAGGTGACAGAGGAGGGGCATTCCAGGCAGAGGAAGTTCAGTAAAGTCAGAGGTGTGAAGATGCACGATATAATCAGGCAAACGGAGCATTCTGGTTGAGGTAGAACATATTAAGATGGAAATGTAGACAGAAGATATCTTATATTGCATGTTAACTTTGAATTTATTTATTTGGTGGATAAGGAACAGGAAACCAATAAAGGTTGCTGGCATGGAGGGAGCTGGTTAAGTCTCCATTTTTAGATGGACAAAACTTGGTAGCTTTCCTTGACAGAACGAAGCAGGTGCCAGACTTAGTAAGGAGCAAAGCCCTCTTGGGAAGGAAGGCTGTCTCTTGAAAAGGTACTCCCTTTCCAAAGTACCATAATTAAACAGAAATATGGGAAGTGAATAGTCTACTTCATAATTAATAAAAGTTATGCTGTGTTATGAAAAGCCACGAAATACCCAAGGAAGTCAACTTAATAGAAAAAAAAATACTCATGTTTTAAGGGCAGAGGGGAGATTCAAGGTTGGATTAAGGGTAGAAATGACAGACTCAAATTATGTTCAAGGAAGAAAATGAAAGGCCTACTCTGAAAGAGAAGAATCAAGTGTACAAAGGAAGAACACTTAGTAAAAGAAGACACTGCAGAATATAAACTTTTCACAAATTGGTACTAATCCCCGGATTACCTTTAACCAGGCCAATCTAAAAGCTGCAAATGTAGCCCAGTTTGCTGTGAATTTTAACTCTGTATGTGCACTGTGTATGTATATGTTATATATATGATATATGATATTATTTTATGGGTACTCATTTAATTTTCAGCAATGCTGTAAACAAATCCTCTGGCCATCAGAGGTTAATTTTCAAAGTCTTCACTTGACTCCGACTGGCAGGGCTACTACAGCCTTAGATGTTATAGTTGCTGCTGCATAAGCACAAAGAAAATGAATGGTCATGCTGGGTTCCAGTAGTTTCTACGTTACATTAACATATCTCACTAAAATATGCCAACATATGTCCACTGCAATTTTAAAAACGTGTCAAAACCTCCGCCTTATGCCTCCTTCCACCACCACCTCAAATAAATGACACTAGAAAAGTAAATACATTCAGAATAACCACTTAACCCACTCAACAGTTTCTCACACCAGATTTTATTGCGCTCTGATATACAAGCTACATTCTTACAAAATAGAAATTCCTTGTGTGTAGGGGATGAATTAATTTCTGTATAAGCTGAATATGCTGATTTTTATGAACATTTTATAGAAAGGGTCACAATATTTTTTAGTTAACTGCCTTATTGAGGGGGGGGAAGAGGGAGCTGACAAAAGTCTACATGCATAGATAGTCCTAGTAGCAGATCTCAAACATGAAGGTGTAAATTTGAGTCAATGATGCAAACGTGAGCAAAAACATTTTACAGGCACAGTTGAGTTTTGGAGTTTATAAAAGGAAGGTGAACTCCTTCTGAAGGGCTTTTGGACATATATGCATGCTCATATCCTATATGCATATACAGGTTACACTTGGAAAAAGCCCACTATAGTATTCAGAATCAAATTTACAAACAGGTTAAGTTAGTGTTGCCTGACTTTTAACAATAAAAGGAATCACTACAGATTTTATTTATACTGTTTACATTCAAAAGTAATCAACTTCCATACAGTTTTTAGGTACTCACCTCTTAAAGATAAGTACATCTACATATACATTTATTGCATGGATAATCTAAACCTAGCAAATAGCTGATTTTAGGCTTACTGAATCTTTTCCATGTCTTAATAGTTTTTAAAATCAAATATATAGGAGTCAGTCATTATTAGGGTATATGTTATCATCAGAGTGATAAAAATCAGTAATGGGACTAGAAACAGTATACCCACTAAGCTGTAACTAAGTCATTAGATTAAAAAACCAAATTATTAAAAACTGTTTTAAGAGGTATTCCCCACTAAGTTCCTTGTACGAGCTTAGTAATAACTTTACAGATGTTCTTGTTATAGTCCTGTTCTCTCTGTGCCTGCTCCTTTACAAAAATTCTCTTCACATCAAATTCCTACAATTGAGTTAGAACCCCAGAAAATTCAACCTCTTTTTTCTCAGATGGCTACAAAAATTTGAGTATCAATGAGACAGCTTGAAATAACCTCTATATACTTTTTTAAAACTAAGATTGTATTTGTAAATTTACTTGCAATTACTTAAAAAAACAAAAACCAAAAAACCCACAAAAAACCCCAAACATGATTTTGGTGGCTTCCTGTCCTTCAGACTTCCAAGGGGTGGATTATTTCATTGTAAAAAGTTCTCTTTTCAACTGTTCTATTCCATTAACCCAGACTATTATCCATTTTTATATAATGAATTCACTTTATACTGACATAGCCAAAGACCTGGAATAAACTAGTCAAGCATGAACTTTCCTTTAGCAGAACATAATGCTTTTAAAGGCAAGTGGTTTCTTTTCAATTAAAATCATATTCCTGCCTGTTAGCTACTGAGTTAGCTATACAACTACACAGTAAAAAAGATCTCCACAGGATATATGATACTCATCCTAAAACACATGGTACTCGACCTACTCAACCAGCCTCGTAATTTTTAATATTCACTTAGCACCTATGCATAATCAGACAGGCAGCATCTGAGAACATTCCAGTTGCTAAAGAAGAAATAGTGCCTCATTATACACCAGTACTATGCCATGGCTCTCCATGAATATTGAGTTTTCTAATATTCTCTGCTTGACTTTAATAATATCTCAGCAGTGACAAGCTAGCATCTTGTCCAACTATTCTCAATTTGTTTCACTTTGAAACAGATTTCCTTTCATCATGTACAACACCACACAGTTATATGGATTCAATGAGTTTATCATAATGACCCTAAGGTTCTAATGACAGAGGAATAAAAATAATCATTGACTGTCTCTCCTCTGCCTTTACATCCATATAAGAGGGAAACAAATCCTACAAAGGAACAAGCACCCGAGCAGCTGAAATTTATAGGAAATAAGGCATTAGAGAACATTAAGTGCTAACATCACTTCTATGGTCTCTCCTCTACCCCCTTGAAATCAGTGTTTTTTAAGGGCACTGCCCTTCACACTTCAAAATCACCAGGTCATTAAAAACACGGATTTTTCCCAGCCCTATTCCAAACCTACAGATGCAAAATCTCAGGAGGGAACCCAAGAAAACAAGCTTCCCAGGTGAGGGTTATTCACCATTGAGAACCACTATGCTATATATTATACAGAATATCTGACTAATGCTCTAATTTTGAGTTGCCTGATATTTGGGGCAACTATCAGAAAGTCAGTACATGTTCGGAGAAATAAAGTTTTTTGGTTTTTTTTTTTAAAGATTTTATTTATTTATTTGACAGAGAGAGAGACAGCGAGGAACACAAGCAGGGGAAGTGGGAGAGGGAGAAGCAGGCTTCCTGCCAAGCAGGGAGCCCGATGTGGGACTCGATCCCAGAACCCTGGGATCATGACCTGAGCCGAAGGCAGACGCTTAACGACTGAGCCACCCAGGCGCCCAGGAGAAATAAAGTTTTAAGTGAGTTAGATTCTATCACCAACTATGTGTGTGAGCTGTGATAATGAATTGTTATGAAAAAAAAAAAAAAAACAGTATTATGAGTGCACTCTGGAAAAAATGCTCTTGTAAAACCAAAGGTTTGGACTAGATAGTATTTAAGATT